AGGAAGGGGATGAAGGGAGAGGGGGGAAAGGGAAGAGGGGAGAGGGGGGAAAGGGAAAGGGATGAGGGGAGAGGGGGGAAAGGGAAGGGGATGAGGGGAGAGGGGGGAAAGGGAATTGGATGGGAGGGGAAAGGGGAGGGGGACGAGGGGGGAAAGGGAAGGGGAGAGGGTACAGAAACTTGTTATTCAGACTAATAATTATAAAAATAACGATATAAATAATAATATCAATGGACCATCGTACTGGCCCAGGGAGGCACAAACATTTTGCTATTTAGATTGATACTAATGATAATGGTGACAATAATAATGATAACCACAATCAGAAGCACTCAAATGTTTTAATCCTCATAATAACGTCAAAAAACCCCCAAAGACAATTGATCTTTTCTGAAACACATTTCCACTCTGTGAATGCTGGATTCATTTTACTACAAAGATCAGGTACACAGAAGTTCACACTGTCATCCATGGAAAAAAAAACCTTTGGTAGATAGTTAGTTTGTAGAGTTCTCTCTCTCTCTCTCTCTCTCTCTCTCTCTCTCTCTCTCTCTCTCTCTCTCTCTCTCTCTCTCGTGGGTGTACACTTACTCACATATTATGTAAAACATAAAATGAGCCTAGCACAAGGAGAAAGAGAAAGAGAAACTTTTTAGAATAAATCATGACATGACAAAATGATATATAATACACAAGGGTGTTATATTTGTTACCATTTGAAACAACAGAATGTTTAATCATCAAGGCCAGAGATGAGTGATTAAAACAAAAGCTAGGATCTACCTGGAAGATCTTGGGGCTTGCGACGGTTCTTCTTGGGGGTGCTTTTCCTCCTGAAGTTCCGGAAACTTCCTCTGGAAGTCAATAGTGGTTAGCCCCGTCTTCCTTGGCCGTCTCTGTCGGAAGTTTGGCTTGAGGACCGGGCTCACTCTCTTCTCTGTCACCGAGTCACTTCCTGTTCGTTTTAGTAAGATTTTTACAGCACTTGCAACACAATAAGGTCAGATAAGTGCTGAAGATCAGAGGAGTTACAAGAGAGTAACAAACACAAAAAAGAAGGAGAGATAAAGATGATAGATGTTTTAGTTTTAATAAGAGTTTTTATGCACTTGAAACACAATAAGGTGAAATGAGTGCTGAAGACCAGAGGTGGTACAAGAGAGTAACAAACACAAAAAAGGCGGGGAGACAAAGACGACAGATGTCTGATAGGAAAGAAGAAGCAACCCACATCAGAGCACCCGCCAATCACCCACTCACTTCCTGTGATAGATCATATGCTGCTGTTAGCTCAACAAATTCAGAGTGTTTGCTGAAGACGGGATATGGGATACTTGTGGGATGTCTTCTGTGGTTGTGTGTGTGTGTGTGTGTGTGTGTGTGTGTGTATGTGTGTGTGTGTGTGGGTGTGTGTGTGTGTGTGTGTGCGTGTGCATGCGTGTGTGTGTGTCTGTGTACATTTCTTGAGGCATTCTTGAGGTTTTAAATACAACGCCTGTCGCAATTGTCCAAGACGGCAACCCGTTGTTGAAGAGAAAAGAGGTTGTCTTAGGCAGGTCAATGTCTTGGACAGTGTCATTATAATGGAGAAAAAAAACCTGCACCATTGGTGGGGGGGGGGGGGGGGGAGAGTACTTGTTTGTATAGATGATTGTCTTGGACACGTGGCAGTTTGAGCAGGTTCGACTGCATTTACTTTGTACTTGCTGTAACCTGATTAAAACATTTATTTGTGGGGGGGGGGGCGGGCAAGTGTTTTAACTCACTTGCGACTGGGCCCTTTCACCAGTCACAAGCGTTGAAGACTGGCGTTTTTGGGGGTATTTCAATAAATCACCACAACTCTCAGAATTACCCTATTGTAATCATTTTTTGACACAGTAAAGTAACATTCAAGCTTAATCTAATACAAAAAACTAAAGTTGTCTAAGTCTAACACTTTAATTTGTATGATTTTTTAAAAATTGGCATGAATTTGATTTTCCTAAAAATTTCCAGAGACGTGACAAGTAGAATGAAATTCACTGCAATAACAAAAATAAAAGTTCAAAGTGTTCTGGTTTGATTTGTATACATGTGCGAGTGTTTGGTGAAAATATAAAAGCTGGTCTGTGCATTGATTCAGACCCATACATTGAATTACATGAGACAGATGTACGGCACGACGTTGTGATTTCGTTGCGCGAAAAACAACACCGGTACTAGTGCTAGATCTAGCCCTAGAACTACGACTCGGGCCGTGTTCGGGTACATATCCAGGATCCTAACTATTAGACACATCATATTCTGAGACACTAGAACTAGTAAAACGCACAGAAGTATAGAAAACGGCGAAATTATGTGATTTTGGTTCATGCGACTTCTTCGACCGTTACTACGACGCGACTGTCGGATTACTATCACCAGTATAGAAAAAAACAAAGCGCGAGTTCCGGTCTGTTCAACCCCAGTTGGGGTCACTGTCCTTCACCTTCAATAACTTAAAAACTACCGGCCCCAGAGATACGAATGGAAGTCTAAGTAGCTTAGGCTTGGCCAAACAAGGGTACGAGGCGGGTCTCGCGATACCGTGCGTGATTTGTAGAGCGAAAAAAAAATTCCAAAGTTGGTCACGCAGGGCTTGTGAGACCCGTCGCGAGCGTCGCGGCGGGGGTCACGCAACTGTTGTGTGACCCGTCTGAAGTGAGTTGAGGCGCTCTCAACTGCGTAAGGTCATATAAGCGAGCTGGACACATTAAACATTTTCAGTTGGTAGGAAATTT